GCAGGTCATGGTCCGCTCACCCTCAGCAGCTTCGGCTGCGAGTCATGGTTTTTGAGCTGTGCGGTGTCGCAGTTTGGGTCTTGGGACGGTTAGTCAGGGATGAAGGAATGGCCGAGGTATGGAGTGGGTCGGGGGCAGAGGAGAGAGAAGCCCATGAGATGGGCAGGAGCTCAGGGAGGGGAGGCCTGGAGGTGGGCCCGATTCAAGCAGGAAGAGAAGCAGGGAGGTTGTTCCCGGGGCACGCCCTCAGCCGCCAGCCAGGCCAGAGGACGTGGTGGCCCCAAGGGTGGCGAGTGGGCCAGAGCAGAGGGCAGAGGAAGTGAGCACAAGGCCCCACCCTTGGGCAGGCTCCTGACTCTTCCCTCACCCACCCCCAGAGCTGGGGGATCTTCCTCTTGTCCGCCTGGATTTCTCCTGTAACCGTGTCTCCCGCATCCCGGTCTCCTTCTGCCGCCTCAGGCACCTGCAGGTCATTCTGCTGGACAGCAACCCCCTGCAGAGCCCTCCGGCTCAGGTGAGGGAGGCGGATTGCCCTAGACCATGGGGACAGGGCTGGGAATGGGTAGGAGTTGGGAGATGAGTCCCTTTAGCAGCCAGGCAGGATCTGGGGGAGCCCTTTTCCCTTAACCCCTACCATGTGCCTCCTTATACCTAGATCTGTCTGAAGGGGAAACTTCACATCTTCAAGTACTTGTCGACAGAAGCTGGGCGGCGTGGGGGGTCTGCGCTGGGGGACCTGGCCCCTTCCCGCCCCCCGAGTTTCAGTCCCTGGTAAGTCCCAAGTGGGAAGGAAGGAAGCGCCTGGCTACTTCTGCCCCTTCCTGGCGGCACGGACTCCTGGGTTTTGGTGGGAGGGTGAGAGGGCTTGTCGCCCGCTGCTGGACTGACTGGCTCTCCCTGGCGGCCGCTAGCCCTGCTGAGGACTTATTTCCTGGACGTCGGTACGATGGCGGGCTGGACTCAGGCTTCCACAGCGTTGACAGTGGCAGCAAGAGGTGGTCTGGAAATGAGGTAAGGGCCTCCCTTCCACGGGACATTGGGGCTCTTGGCTCTGGGTCAGGACCCTTTGCTTGGTGCTTGGGAATATCAGGGTGACTCTTAGCGTCTGGAGTGGTGTTTTTCCCTTGCCCAGGTATCTCGGGGAAGGGCTGGCTCAGCAGCAGACCCCAGGGGCATGAACCCCATGAACCCCCAGCACTACAGTGCAGCTCGCTTCCGTTTTGCATTTCTAGTCAACAGATGAATTTTCGGAGTTGTCCTTCCGGATCTCGGAGCTGGCCCGGGAGCCTCGGGGGCCCAGGGAGCGGAGAGAGGATGGCTCCGGTGAGTGGTGGGGTCAGGATATGGGGTGTGGGGTAAGGTGCGAGTGCCTGAAGGCCCCCAGATGCTTGCTGACATGCCCTGGCTCCTCCAGCTGACGGAGACCCTGAGCAGATTGACTTCATTGACAGCCATGTGCCCGGGGAGGACGAGGAGCGAGGCGCTGCTGAGGTGAGGGTCCCGTTCCTGGCCGCGTGCAGGTCCTGTGCAATGTGCAAGGGACCTGTGTGGGGGGTAGGGAGCGGGGCAGGCTTGGGGGCGCACTTCCATCTCCTGCTGCTCTTTCCTTAGGAGCGGCGGCCACCAGAATTAAGCCCTGTGGCAGGGGACACCGAGAAGGCGCCAAGCAGCAGGTACCCCAGAGCCACCTGATCCCGCACCTTTTCACCTCCCTCCTGTCCCCGGACCCAACTCTGCCTCACTGGTCCTGCCTCTGCCCCACAGGCGGGAGGAGCCGGCCGGGGAGGAGCGGCGGCGCCCCGACACCTTGCAGTTGTGGCAGGAGCGAGAGCGGCGGCAGCAGCAGCAGCAACAGCAGCAACAGCAGCACAGTGCGCTCTGGGGGGCCCCCAGGAAGGACAGGTGTGGGCAAAGGGGCAGGGTTGGGCGGGGGGGCCTGGAAATGAGGGGAAATGGGTCCTCAGAAGCTCCTCTGCCCGTCGGGGTTGGCGGGTCCCTTGCCTGCGCTGCTGACCCCACATGTCCTTCATTTTCCAGTTTTCTGAAGCTGGGGATCAGGGCTGCTGGCGGAGGGGCCGCTGCCTCGTCCACTCAGGCCTCCTATGAGTATGTGTCCTCCGAGATCCACCTCCCAGAGCTCTGTCCCTGCACGCCGTCCCCCTGCCATCCCCTCTAACTCACTTCCTGTCTGTCCTCAGTGGCACGCCGAAGTCCAGTGCCACCCAGCCGGGAGCTTCAGGAGGACAGGGAGCCCCTGCCCCCACCCCTGCCCCTGGCCCCACCTCCCAGGAGCCCCTTCCTGCGGCTGGACCAGGTGGGACAGGGACTGGGGGAAGAGGAGGCGGGACTCTGTAGGTGAGGGGGTGGCTGGGGCCTGGTGGCCTGAGGGAAGAGGGGGACTCTGAAGGGTGTCTTTTCTGACCTGTCTCTGGCTCTGACCCCCAGCAACAATGCCTGCTCCCCGGCCACTCGGCTCCATTCAGAGACCAAACAGCTTCCTCTTCCGTTCTTCCTCTCAGAGTGGCTCAGGTGGGTTTCCCCTGTCCCCAGTGCTAACCCAGCCCTCAGCCCTGGGCTGCGGACACCCCTTCTGGCCCGGGAGTTCCCTAGTCTATTGTCCTTTGTGTTGAAAATCCCACAAGCACAGAGGCAGGAGATGTGAGTGCCAGACACTGTGACCCAGCTAAGAAGTTGGCCGCGGGTGACAGAGACAGCCCACATTCCTCCCCTTTCTCCAGGCCCTTCCTCACCAGACTCTGTCTTGAGACCTCGGCGATCCCCCCAGCTTCTGGATGAAAAGGAGCTAATGGCACAGCTGCGCCAGGTAAGAGAGGTGGGATCTGCGGGGCCGGGCACGGTGGGGAGTTGAGGGGGGCACTCAACCTCCTCGAGTTTCCTGGCTTCCCACTGCACCCTGTGGGTGCTTCCACTGAGGACACAAGGGGCAGGCGGGAGTCCCCACTGAACCTGACCCCTCCCCAATCCTCCTGCCTCCCAGGTCCTTGAGTCAAGGCTGCAGCGGCCCCTGCCTGAGGACCTGGCAGAAGCTCTGGCCAATGGGGTCATCTTGTGTCAGCTGGCCAACCAGCTGCGGCCCCGCTCCGTGCCCTTCATCCACGTGCCCTCACCTGCTGTGGTCAGTTCTGTCCCCGGGCGGGAGGCAGGGGATGGGACAGAGGACGGCCAGGGCCTTTCCCTTACTCTCTTCTCCTTTTCCTTTCTCACTCTCCCCCAGCCAAAACTTAGTGCTCTCAAGTCTCGGAAAAACGTGGAGAGTTTCTTAGAAGCCTGTCGAAAAATGGGGGTGCCTGAGGTATGAGGGGTATATTCTGGGGAGCCCAGGGCAGGTCCCTACTATAGCGGGTGGCGACGTTCAGGGCTCAGCTGAGCACTCCGCATGGGTGGCGGGGTTCCATTCACAGTGGTGTCTGCTCCCCAGAAAGAAGCATGTCCGCAAGCCCCCGTCCTGCACGTGTCCCCGTCCTGCATGTGTCCCTGCCCTGCACTGCGCATGTGGGCGTGGCTCAGCCCCCGGCACGTGAGGGCAGGGGGTGGGAAGGATTGTCTTGTTGCTGCTGCTGACGTCTGCTCCTTGTCCTTGTCCGTCTGTCCCTACTCCCTTCCTAGGCCGACCTGTGCTCGCCCTCGGATCTCCTCCAGGGCACTGCCCAGGGGCTGTGGACCACCCTGGAGGCTGTGAAGCGGGTGGGGGGCAGGGCCCCCCCGCCCGCCTGGCCCCCTTCTGGTCTGGGCGGCTTCATCTTCTTCTACGTGGTCCTCATGCTGCTGCTCTTTGTCGTCTACACTCGGCTCCTGGGTTCCTAGGACCTGAAGTCACCCTTTCTCCCCGCCCCCATCACCCTATTTCTATTTATGACTCCTGTGCGACCCCGGTCCCTACCAGTGGTGCCTTCAGCCCCCACCAAAGACACTAGTGAGCCCCTTCCCCTCACAAACACTGACCTCAGAGGCCCCACTCTGGTGTACCCAGACCCTGGGCCCCCAGCCTCTGGCCACCCTCCTATAGCCCCTTCCCTTCCCTCACCTCTCAGTGCTGATGGTGCCTTCATCCCTCCAGACCCTGCCCTCTGCTCCCTCAGAGGGTCGATTTCAACCTTCCTCCTTTTGCCGTCCCTCTCCCACCCCCCCATTGTTCTGGGGAGCTAAATTATCTATATTTTGTAGAGAGAACTCTATATTTGTAGGGGATACAGGGGCCCAGGCTGGGTCCCTGTCTCTGTGTATAAATTGTACAGACCGTGGCCGCCTCTTGTGTGTGTGTGTGTTTGCGTCTGCTCCTGCTGTGGCCAGGCCTAGCCCTGGCCATGCCCCAGGGGCTCTGTTTGTCAGCCTACCTGTTCCAGCATTTCCCTCTGGAAATGACAGGTCTCTGCTCCCCTGAACTTGGCCTCCTGTGTCATCACCCTTCTGTCATCTGCTGGCAGCTTCCTCGTATCTCGTTTGTCCCCAAGCCATGTCCAGGGTGCCCCTGACCTTTGCCACCTCCACCTGGAAGGGCCATCCTGTCAGCCCTGTTTGCCCAGGCTTCTGTAGGGTTTCTCCTGCCCTGCCCTCTGAGAAGGCCAGGGAAGCCAGAGAACAAGGTGACGGGCACTTAACCCGGGCCCCTCCCCCCAGGAGTCCCTGTGCCAGCCCCACCACATCTTGGAAGAGGAGGGGGCCCCGGGAAGGGGCCTCCCCTACATCGCTGCTGTCATCCACGCACTGCTGGAACGGCCATAGGGGTCGAGGTCGGGGCACAAGGCTCCGATCCGGCCGGGAACCCAGGAACAGAGAAGACAGCCGCGCCCGGCTCTTTTCCCTAGCAAGGACTCTGGTGAGGGCGGCCTCGGGCTTGGCCCTGTTACTTGGGTGCCCCTCAGCCCGCCCGAGGGTTTGGAAGCCGGCCGGCCCAGCAAGGCCCAGCGAGGCCCCTGGCCGCCCCTGGGTGTGGCCGAGGGTCTGGGATAGAAGACGGTCCCGGATGTTGTGTCAAGTGCAATAAAGAAGAAGCCGGGCCCTCAAGGTTGCCCCTCGGGTGTGCGTGTGTGTGTCCGTCTGCGAATGAATGCGGTGCGTCGTGGGGAAGGAGGTGGCCCTGCCGTGCAGGGCGCTGCCGCTCTTCCGTGGCGGGCGGCGTGCGGACCCGACAGCCCCGCCGCCAGGGGGCGCCCGCGAGACCCCGGCGGGAGCGCGCGCCACGTGGCCCGGAAACGCGCTGGGCGCCGGCGTGGTCGCGAGGCCCCGCGAGGTGGGCCGGCGACGTGCGCTCGCGGGGCGGGAGGGCGGACCGCCGCGGGAGGAGGGAGCCTCGTGGGTCCCGGAGGAGCGAGGTGGGAGGCGCGGGCGGCGTGGGCGGCGTAGACCGTGTAGACGGTGCGGACGCGGGGCCCAGAGGTGCTGCCCGCGCTGCCCTCCCCGCCAGACGCGGCATGTTGCCCCGGCCGCCTCCGCTGTGGGACGCGGGCAAAGAGCAGGCGCCCGAGGAACAAGGCCCCTCGGCGGGCAGTGATCCCGGCGAGGCCTGGAGCTCTGGAGAGGAAGAACTGGGGGAGCCAGGAACCCCCCCACAGGACAGGTGAGGGGCTCCGCCGCAGGGAAGTCCGACAGGGGGCCCCACCGTGGGAGGAAACCTCCGACGCCTACACTGAGGGCCGGGTGTGCTCAGACTCCCCGCCCCAGACCCCCTGGGCCCTGCCTCCCGAGGTAAGGGGGAGGCTGTGACGGGTGCACCTCAGTACCTCCCCCTCCCAGCCCGCAGCCACGGTCCCGAAGGCCTTCCTGGACCCGGAGAGAGCAGGTGCTGCCCCGGGCCCCCCCAGGCCTGGCTGCCGAGCAGTCCCCAGGAACCCCAGGTAGGTACAGGCCTTGCAGTCTTTACCCCCCAGACACCTTTCCACGGACTCCTGAGCCTCTTTTAATCTCTTCAACTGCCCCCCCCACCCCCGCAGTTGCCCTTCCGCCCCAGATGGCCTGGGAGGTGGCCCCCTCAAGGATGACCGTCCTAGCACCGTGGGACCCCAGCTACAAGGCTAAAGCAGGACCTCGGCTGGTGTGGGTGAGTTGGGAGTATCTGTGGCCCAGGCCTTGGGAGGGGGCAGGGGTGCCCCGGGAGGGGGCCGAAGCTCCAAGGATCCATCTTTCCTGCCTCTGGCACAGGGGCCCAGCTGTGCGTCAGGCGCCTCCTTCTCAGGCCGGACTTTGTGTCATCCCTCATTCTGGCCACTGTATGAGGCAGCGTCAGGCCGGGACCTCAGGCCCCGGGCCCCAGCAACAGGGCATCAGAACGGAGAGCACGTGCCCAGGGACGCAGGTACTTTGCTTGGTCCCCCAGGCTCTGGAGGTTCCCTGCGTGAGCTCGTCTGGGAACCAGTGCGGCCCTCGCTGGGGTGGGAACCCCAGCCTGCTGCCCTACTGGCTTTTCCTCCCCAGGGCTCCCAGTGATGTGCCGAGAAGATGTCTTTCTGTCAGACCCGCTGCTGCCCTGTGGCCAGCGTGTCCCGCTGTACCTGTCGGAGGCCTCTCAGCAGGTGAGCGTAATTCCTGCCCTGGCCTCGGGCCAGTCTCCCCGCAGGGCTTGGGAGGAGGCCCTTCTCCATTCGTTCTCTCCTCAGGTCATGGGCTCTCTGAAGCTGCTGCTCCCACCTCCTGTCATGTCTCCCTGGGTCCTCCGCACCTCGTCCCCGGGCTGCTCCACCGCCTGGCTCAGTGGGCCTGAGCTGATCGCCCTCACTGGCCTCCTGCAGATGAGCCAGGGGGCTCCGAGACCTGCCTCCTCGGGGGCTCCCACGCCCCCTGCTGGCTCCCCAGACCCTGTATCTGACCACCCAGGCCCCACTGGCGGCCCCAGCTGTTCTCGCTGCACTGACCCGTCTGTCCCACGAACTCCAGAAGCCCACTGAATATAGCTCTTCTGTGGGCATTGTGGGTCCCCTCCCCCCCCCCCGCAGGTTCTGTTGACAATAAAACAGTGTTTTGGTTTGCAAACGAGCTTCTTGTAGCAAGTGAGTAGCCGAGTGGGGCTTGGAGACAGGGATGGGTTCTCTTCCTCTATGTGGCTTAGGCTGTCTTCCCCTCAAACTCTCATTACTCATCGGTCACCCCTGCAAGGGGGCAGGGGAATCCGTGGACCTAAGACCTTTCGAGGCTGACCAAGCAGGACCACTTTAATAGGGTATAGGGCATAGGGTGTGGGGGGTCCACAGTACAGTATACAGAAGACAAGGATATGGAAGCAAGAAGGCCCTCAGGACCACCGGGCTCCAGAGAAGGGAGGATTGTGCGAACACTTGTGTTGTATTGTGATTGTGTTGTCACTGGAAGAGGGAAATTAGGGAGGAAGGGAGCGGCACAGCGCTTTCAGGAAGTAGTAGAGATAAGATACCTGGTGCTTCAGCCCTCTTGCTCTGCGGCCCTGGGGCCGGGACTGGTTCTTTGGCTTCGAGGAGATACAAGGCAGGCCCTGCAGGTGCGGGGTGGGGAGGAGCAGGTCCTTGTGGGACCAGTCATGGGGGGCAGGGTTGGGGGCCAGGGCTGACCTGAAACTCTGGAGCGATGCTGCAGGAACTCTGCCAGGAAGGAAAGGATCAGGGCTTTGGGTGAGAAAGCCAGGAGTTCCTAGGGGGTTTGTGGGTGGGAAGCGGGGAGGGTGGTTCTAGAATTTTATCCCTTAAACGAATCCAGCTTCTTGGGGAGCCTTTCCTGAAGGTTTCCCAGGTACCACTGAGATGGATGGACAGCAGGACCTGAGGGACCGCTCAGAGCTTCTGCAAGTTGCAGGTCCTAGGGGACCTGAGAGCCCCTCTGTTTTGGGAACAGTTTGAGAGGGGTTGAGGGGAGCAGGCAGGAAGGCATTCATAACTTTGCCCTGTTCTCTCCCTTCCTCCCCATCCATCCCTCAGCTAGACAGGGCGGAGCTGCCCACATCTTACCAGAGCCTCCCTGAGGTTCTGGAACTCGATGCGGGCATAGCTGTGTTGCGGGTTCCTGCGGTCGCCTCGAGCCTCCAGTGAAGGGATCAGGCCCAGGTCAGCGTAGTTGAGGCGGCCGTTGGGGGGTTCTTGTGTGTAGTAGTCAGGGGCCACGTACTTGATGCACACGTACTCCCCTGCTAGCTCTGAGGGTGGCTGCAAGGAGGGGTGAGCCCCTGCTGGTCCCCAACATTCCGCCATGCTGCGACGGGGTCCTTGGAGGGAAGGTCCAGACTCCCCAGCCCCGAGCTCATAGGAACCGGGCAGGGAGCTGGAGAACAAGGACCGTGGCAGAAAGCGGCTCATGGGCACGTATTCGGTGCCTCCGCAAACTTGGAGCTGGTCGTGGGCGGTTGCGTGGGCAGAGGCCGCAAGGCCAGGGGGTGCCATCACCATGTAGCCACCCGCTTCGCCACCCCCCATGGGCTCATAGTCGCTCCCGGCTCCCATGGCTACGTAGCCCCCTCCCAGCTCCAAGTCCTTGGGGTTCGAGGCTGCCGTTGCCAGCGTCTGGAGGGTGGTTTTCCTGCTTCTCTCCCTGAGGCCCCCGCGAGGGCTCCCGCCGCTTGACTGGGCCGTCGAGGCCAGGGTCGGAGAAGACTGGGAGGCAGAGGGTCCGTAAGCGCCGGTCGGGGGATCCCTTGGCAGTGGCTCAGCCCTGCCAGTGGCACCGCCCTCCCCGAGTCGCTTCATGGCGGCCAGTACAGTCTCGTGAATGCTTTGGGCCACCAGGGCGTCGGGCGCCTGTAGCCACAGCTCCCCGGGACCCGTGGGCGCCGAGCGGCCGAGCTCCAGGAAGAAGGAGTCTGCGTGGCCGCAACGGCGCACACTGAGCAGGGACAGGCGCAGGGCGGGCGGCGGAGGCGAAGCCTGGGTGTCCCCAGAGCCTTTGCCCTTGGGCTTCCGCAGCAGGCTCAGCACCCCTGAACCCAGGCACAGGCGGTAGCGGCCGCTGCCCAGGCCTCGTGTTCGCCCCAGTCCCTTGGGCCGCAGGGTCGCGGGCCAGACGTCCTGAAATGCAGCGAGAATCCAGGCGCCCGGGTCCTCGTGGAGGCTGGGACCTGGAGAGACAGGGGGCCGGTCACAGGGGCTCTTGGGCCCGGGGGGTTGGAGTCACTGTGCCCCGAGAACTAAACACGTGTAAACGCTTCATGTTTGAACTTGATTTCGGAGACTTACAGGGAGGGACATCCCCGGATCAACTCAACTCGCGATCACCCAACACCGGGCCCCCCGCCCTCGGCTCCGCCCGCCCCAGGCTCGGGCCCCACCCGCGGCCGCGCACGCCTCCAGCGGGGCGCTGTACCACGCCTGCTGCTCCGCCTCGCAGGCCGCCGCCACGCCCAGGCTGCGGTCGCGCGTGTAGAGGACGATCAGGTGGCGCTGGCGCGCGTCCACGCGCTTGCTGATGGTGCACGCGCCCGCCCGGCTCACGCTGAGCTTGGGCGGCGCTCGGCCCGCGCGGAACTTCTCGCTCTCGTAGCACTCGAGGCGCGGCGGGTCGTCGCGGAGCACGAAGCAGCGGCGGCGCTGCGACCTCTGCTTCCGCAGGTGGCCGCAGAGCCGCACGTCGGCGGGACAGGCCCCGGGCCGCGGCAGAACTAGCGGCCTGTCCGCCGGCTCGGACTCCGGGGCCGCCGTGGGGCCACCGCCTCCGGGCTTCATCCCCGGCCAAAGGCAATCGGGGCTGAGACTCAGCAGAGGCGGGGTGGAGGTGGCGGTCTCCGGGGAGGGGGGCAGCGTCCTGACAGGCTGCCACCCGTCTTGATGCCCAGCGTCTCGCCCCTGCTCCGGACTTGGAAGTTTGGGGCAGGGGGTCTGCGGTGTCCCCTCGCTGCGCGCGGGGTATGCGGCACTGGCTGCCCGGAGGTTCCAGCGGCCTTCTCGCAGGCTCGACCCCGGCCGGCTCCCCACGCCTCCAAACGCCTCCTGCCCCCTCCCTCCCTCCCTCTGCAGACCGCTCCAGAGTCCCCACCCCCGCGGGGTTAACCCTCGCGCGCCCCCGGCGCTGGACGTCGGGCCGTGGGAGTGAAATCTGATTGGGAAGTCTGGGAGACCGGGCCTCCACCCCACCCCAAGCACCCTTGGGCTGGGATTGCGGAGGCGGGGAGTGCGTGGGCGTCTCCTCGGATCTGAGCGGACTGCTAAGGGAGCGGCCAAGTGAGGCCAGTGTGAGTGGAACTGCCTCGGGAAGCGATCCTGCTGGTAGGGGGGGTCCGCAGTCCTGCCGATTTGGGGACGGCCCTGACAGGCGCGCCACCTTCTGTTTCCGCCACTTCCCACTCCAGGCGTCCAGCACCTGTGTTCCCCCCTACAATGGTTCCCTACTTTTTCCCAAGCCAGCCTAGCTGTCAGGGCCACCAAGCACTGGGCTGTGCTGATTTCAGAAGAGCTGGAGTTTCAGGTTCTCTCCGCGTTTAGGGTGACAGGAGGGGTCTTCAGATAAGTGAGCTTTTGGATGGGTCCCTGTGCATAGACCACACCACCAGAGTTCCAGCCAAGGGGCCACCGAAGGAGAACCTGGGAAGAAACCTCTCACTACCCTCAGCCCCTTCTCAGCACCACTGTCCAAAAATGCCACCGTGCGCCAGCTGAAGGCTCTGACCAGAGGTGCAGACTCTGTGGTGGAGATAGCCTCTGCCTCTTCCGTCCTAAGATTTTGAGGTAGGTTTGGGATTCAGACATTTTACACCACCCCTCTTCTGATCCTTCCAAGGACCACAGCCTCCTACGGGGGGTGGCAGGTGATGGCTCTAGTCACTGCCCACTCTGCAAGACACCCCAGGAGCTGATGCTTGGGTGGGAGCCTTAGAGGACCTCCTGCTATATTGCTCTATGGCAAGTAAGAGCTAAAGCGGGGGCTGCGGGGAGGGTAGAGGAGAGGGAAGTGGGCAGCCGAGGCCCTGTTGAAGGCGGCATATGGGGAGGAGGGGATATAACAAGAATACCCTGGGGCGCCTGGGTGGCTCAGTGGGTTAAAGCCTCTGCCTTCGGCTCATGTCAGGATCCCGGAGTCCTGGGATCGAGCCCCGCATCGGGCTCTCTGCTCAGCGGGGAGCCTGCCTCTCTGCCTACTTGTGATCTCTGTCAAATAAATAAATAAAAATCTTAAAAAAAAAAAAAAAGAAGAATACCGAGGCAACGGAGGCCTGCTCTCTGTCTCAGACTAGTCCAGAGGCCATGACAGTCTGCACTGGGAGGGCAGGCCATCCCACTGCCGCTTCTCCATTTCCCAGGCCTGTGAGGAAGGGACTCTTCTGGAACACTGGGGACACCATGGTGCAGTGTGCTTGCAAGCTAGGATCCTTGACTATCTTTTCAAGGGTCACGTTGAGAGTGAGATGCATAGCACCAACCAGCATGTGAGGGTGCCCGGGGCCTCCACCAGGTGCATCCGGGTCAGCCATAGCTTCCCAAGGGGCAGGGGAGGTGCCGGCAGCCCATGCGTGCACTGGGGCCAGTGGTAGTCACCGCCTTTGGTGGGTATCAGGGAGAAGCAGGTATGCGGCAGACCTGTAAGTGGCCACCCAGACAGATGTTCAAGGCCACTGCCTCCAGTGTGGTCTTCACAGACTTACGGTGTGCAAAGCAGCAAGCAAAAGAGATCTGCAGGCCCCGCCCCTTCCGAGGCTTGGTGCTGCTTGGAGGAACAGGGCATCCACAGGGCATCCACAGGGCCTATGATGGGCTGTGCTTTGAAGTACCCACAGGAGGCCCTCTTCGTCCCTACTCCTTCCCGCTCCCCATCAGCTAGGCCACCATGCGGCACCCCAGTCCTTGTGCAATCATGGCTGCCTCAAAGACCAGCTCCAGGCTACCTTGTGTCACTGAACCCTGAAGTGCTGGGTACAGATGGAGTGGGAGGGAGCAGGGATCGGGGTACCTGGGTTCTGGGCAAGCAGTGCCAGGTGATTTAGCCATGCTGGGTACCAGGAAAAGCCTGGAGCCAAACAATTGGCCTAATCAGTTGCCCTAGCAACATTGCCCTTGGCCCTACCCAGACAAGATTTATTTTAGCCTGTTGACCTGGTAACGCCAGCTGCTCCCCAGGGACAGGAAATGGCAGAACCTCAGCTCTGCTGGGTGAGAACATCTCCTCCCAAGCCCAGGGGTCTCCCTCGGTCTCCCTCCGCAGGGTGCAGGGTAGCCACGGGATGGAATCGCCCCATTCCCCACCCCATTCTTAAATCCCTACGGAACAATCTCATTACCAGTGACAGGAACCTAGAGGGAGGAGACTGGGGAACTCAGGCTGGGATGTTCCCCTGAGCCCCTCCCTCCCCACTCTGGAGTTCTCCCCACTCTGTGTAGGGGGACGCAGGGAGAGCCCCCATCTCCTTCCTTCAGCCTTCCCCCATCATGGCTCCCAGGCCCCAATGTGGAGGGATTGGCGTGCTTCACAGTGGTCCTGGGGACGGTCTCCTCTGATCTCACCCACAGGGGCAGGTGACCTCCCGAAGGCTGGGGCCAAGCCACAGGACTCTGTCTGCAGAGCATGGCCACAGCATCGGCTGCCTGGTCAGAAGCCCAGGGGGAGCCTGGGCAAGCTCCACAGTGTGCCTGGGGCTCCTCGGTTTGCTGCAGTGGGGTTCGGACATGTGACCACAGACAGGGCCGTGCAAGGGCGGGCTGGGGGCGAGGTCAGAGGAACACAGCCCAGTCATTCAGACATCTTCTAGCAGGCCAGGGATTTTTCCATTCTTTGCTGCTCGCCTGGATACAGGAGGCCCCAGGGAGGCGGCACGGTGGCTACTCCATGCCAGGAGAGACAGCTGCGGTCCTCGTCTTGGCCTGTGCCCAGGGAACTCGGGTTTTCTGTCCTGGAGTTGGAGGCTGACCCAGTGTAACTTCTCTGATTGGTCATCCTGCCCTGGCCAGTGAGCTGGCGGGAGTCCATGTTGGACAGAGTGCCCTGGGGCGCACGGCGGGGGACCGCAGGGAGGTCCTGGGCCTGGGCACCGAGCAGTAAGGAGATCCTTGGGAAACAAACAGCAGGAGTGTGACTGAAGGGCCCTTTCCGTTTCACCTCCAAGCCTCAGTGCTCTTGGTTAGGAAAGGGAGTTGGGGTGGCCGGGGACAAGTAAGAAAAGGGTCCTCCTCCTCCTACACACCAGACCAGCTTCCTCCTCTAACTAGTTCTACAGAGAGAAAATGGGAAACAGGGACAAAGGACAGAGAAGTAATCAAGTAGGGACAGAACACGAAAGACCCAGGGATGGTGGTCTCTAGGAGATCCAGGTGAAAGGAGGAGGAAAGCGGCTGGGAGAATGGAAACACAGACCCAAGACAGGATGGATTCTGAGCCTTGCAAAGGTGGGGAAGCCACGCCTGGCTGGGCAAACAGCAGCAGCTAGAAATATTTCTAGAGAAGTCCTCAAAGTAAATAAACCGGTAACACAGTCCCCACTTCTCCTTGCTGTTCTGCTGTTAAAGGTCACTGGGTGGAAAGACCCAGAGAATCCCAAGAATGAACAGCAGAAGGGCCGAGACTCCCTGGGCAATGCGGAAAAGGGAGGAAGGTCTCTTGAGATCAAGGCTGAACGCTGGGCCTCTCCTCCGCCGTGAGGTGTTTAACCCACAATGGCTACCTTGTCCCCACACAAACAGCCTGGGCACTGTGACTGTTGACACAACACCCTTGGGTGAAACAGTCTGGGGAGGGGCCAAGGATGCACCGGCCCGGGCCTGGGGGCAGTCTACTCCTGCACTCAGGTCCCAGCATCTCCACCTTGGAGCTGGCACCCCTGGCGGAGTCACCCCCTCACCTAACACTGCTAACCCGGTCCGGCAAGAATTCCTGTCCTGGGCCCGCAGCACCACCAGCTTCTTCACGGACCCAGCAGTCGCACTGGGGCCCCTGGAACTAAGCCAAAGTGAGACCATGGGAGCCATTTCCTTTTTCTTTCAAACGCAGTTCTTTTCCAACATAGCCTGCCACAGCTTTGGCTCAGAGATTTGGGGGGTGGGGGAGGCACATGGGAAAAAGAAAGAAAAAAAAAAAAAAACCAGCCAATTGCACAAAGCCTTTCCCTGGAAAAGCCCAGGCTCTGGGGTGCTCAGGACTCGTGACTGCCCTCCCCACCACCCTCTGGAGCTCCGGCTTTGCTGGTCGAGGCACAGATGGGGGTCCGTTCCATTCCCCATGTGAGAGAGCTGTCTGGGAGCAGAATGGCGGCCTGTGTCTATATATCTCTATGTGTGCGTGCGCGCGTGTGTATATATAATAGACTATATTAGAAAATTCTCTATGTATAAATATAAAACACCGGTATCCAAACGTGACACCACAGCAAACTAAAGTGCTTGACAGGAGTTGGGCATGTCTAAGTAGTAGGTAAAACTATTATTCATCTCGAGTACCCAGGATGAGGGAGGTTGCCGGGGAAGCAAAACCATGGGGGGCCTCCTGGCCTGGTGGGGGTGGGGAGGAAAAGGGGGTGCTGGCACAAGCCAGGGCACCAAGGGTACCCTGCACCCCCCCACGGCCCCCCAGCCTTCTCAGCCTGTCTGATCACTGTCCAGGTCAACCCCACACCTCTTCTCAACCCCACACCTTGACCCAACTTTGCTCATTGTGCTTCTGTCCACAAGGAAACCAGCACTGGAAAGTCGGGAATGGGGGGGAGGCTTGCTCCCACAGGGGAATGCTGGTCCGTCTGTGCCCACAGCTTCCTCTGCCCACACGGCTGGGAGTGAAGGGACCACTACGTATGCTGAGGGCAGGAGGTGAGGATTACTGTCATCATGATTAGTAATTTGAGAAATCAAACGCCATCACTCCTCTAGGCCAGGCCCTGCCTTCTCTCCTCTTGGGCCTCCTGCCTGGGTGGGGGCTGGAGAGAGGAGGGGAGAAGCCTTGGGGGCAGCTGACCTGGGAAGCTGCCCTTTTATCTG